TACACCGTCGAATGTAAATAATAAAAGAATAGGAAAAGAATATATTTGCAATAAAAAGCGCACCTCACGCCGTATACATCTGAATAAATAAATATTTTTTCTATAATTCTATACTTATGCATTGCTCATTTCAATATCATTTCGTAAATGCTACGAATTATGTGATTGAATTTTTCTTAGATGTTTCAATAACATTTCCCATATTGTGAATTTATTTCAACAGTTTGTGTGAATTCGCTAAAATTACATAGAATTTGATTTTTAAAACAAAATTGCAATTATTTTGTAAACATTGTGAGTTAATAACTTTGTATTTATTATTTGATCGAAAATTCTACAAAGTCTCTTTAAAAGGTTTTATAATGATCAAATTTTAATGTAATGAATTCACAAAAAATCACATAACTTAACAGAGTTATGATTTGAATTCAGTTTCGTGCGCTGAATAAATAGACAACTCTCATGCTAATTTTGTTTCTTTTTACATCGCAATGGTTGTAAACAAAAGTATTAAATCTATAAATATGTTTATAAAAATATTTTAAATTGAAATTTTTACGCGAGCTTTTTAAAAAATATCCAATAATGAATTCAGTGTTAGTTGTAGTTTTCTTTCATTTTAGTTAACAGTTTTACTTTCGTTTTTGTATGTTTAGATAGCAAAAAAAATTCAGTTTATTTAAATGAAATTATTGAACGATTTTTTCGAAACGACTGGCAAATAAGTTCAGAAAAGTACACTGAGTGGATTTTGAAATTAAAGGGAAGATAAAGCAGATTGGAATTTTGTTTGATAATACTGCGTCAATGTAACAGTTATTGACGAAATTTATTTGCATTGTAAATCCACTGACTTAAAATTTCTAATACCCGTATAATAATATCGACGTAAAATTGACGACATCATTGGTTTCGGATTTGTTCTAATCCGCGTATGAATTACTTCTTTTGTCGAAGTTAAAAAGTCGTGTTTTTAAAATTCGATTTCTCAGAAACTGTTCGATCGATTTCGCTCATATTTTGTATGCTGTCATATAAAACTACTTTCTATAAAAAAGTGTGAAAAAGCGTATACTTTAAAATTAAAAATTTTTTGACTATTATTGAAGAAAATAATAAATATTTATTAAAAATTATTTTTGCATGGAATTATTTTTAAATGAAAGAATTTTATAATTGTGTGCAAAAAAGTTTCAATTCGCTTTAGAAGTTTTCAATGTATGGGGAAGTAAGCAAAGATAAAATTAACATTAAAGGGTCCAAACTTTAGCCAGCTCTCCTGACCAAGCTATCGGGAAATTTCCCAGGTTGCTGCAACCTCTATATCCCGGGTGTCAGAAATCTGAATCCGTAAAAAAAAACGTGTATTCAGAGAAAATACGTTTTCGTGGCTGATTTTGCAACTTAAAATATCGTTCGCACTAATTAATTAGCATATTTGAGGTCACAAATTTGAACCATTACGATTGAGGTCTAGAACAAGAACATACTACGATTAGATGAAAAATTATTCAGGCTAGTCCATTTATATTTTTTTGCACATAGTGCATTAATATTTGTTCTTATTGCTATGAAAAAATTTCATCGACTATAGCAAAAGTTGGTAGCTATGCCACAATAACCAACGTTAATTAGAGAAACCATATATCTGCTTTGAAGCAGGTGTTTTTTCAAAATCCTGTTTTCACGAAAAAGAATTCACGAATCATTGCTAGAAATAGAAAACTCTATTACGCGGGGGTATTTGTACTTCATTGGAATAGATTTAATCAAGATGATTTCGCTTATTCCCATATTTTTATCAAGGCGAATATTATTTTTATCATGACGAAATGTATTCAATCGTATCCTATTAAACTTATTTTAATAAGTCTCATGAGCTTATTTATAACGATGAACATAGATGCGAATGAAAGATAGCAAAATAAACTCTTGATAGCAAAATAAACTATGAACAAAATACCTCATTTTTTCCGTATTAGGTTAGTTTTCTTTAGTTAGTAATAAAAACCTAATAATTGGAGGGATTTATTGCTGATATGAGTTTTGAGAAAAACATTTTAAAGCATGACCTTGAACTACTTGATTTTTTTAAAATTTAAATATTCTTATTTTATTATTTTTTATTCGTTATGACAGATAGGGTTAATGATCAACATGGATAGCATGTAAGTTCTACGTCACAGAATTGCTATCTCCAAAGTTATCGGGAACGAAGAGTTCATTATGCTTATAATAAAGCTTTCGAAAAGTGTTTTTATAAAACTAAATTTAAAATCAATGGTAATTGAAATGAAAAAAAAAATGCCGAATACTTTTGATATTTGGCTAATTTACTGGTTAATAATACACCGATACAAATATAAAAATGCAACGAAAACAAGAAAAGAAATAAAGATAGGGAAAACATTTTTTAAAGAGAGAAAAAGTTAAATTATTATGAAAAAATAATTAAAATTTTTATTTAAAATTAAAAAAAAAATAATAATAACTAATTTTTTAAAAACTTCAATGAAAAAATTAAAAAAAAAATAGAGAAATAAAAACAACGAAAAGATATCATCAAAGATATCATCCTGTGATATCATCACACGATTATTCAAAATGAAACAAAAATTCTAGAAAAATACAAAATAAAACACAAATAGGAATATAAAACTAGGAGCGAAAACAGACGTTGATTTACTTACTGACATCTTTCAAAATATCAGTAAGAGCATAAGTTAATAAAACTTAATAAGTTAATAAAACTTAAATATATATTGCTGAACTAGCTCATAGCTATCAAGTGTTTATAAAATTTATTTTTCAACTACTTATTCGTCATAGCGGGCAAAATATTTTTAAGTCAATTTTATTAGTAAATAACCCGACAAAATTGAAAAACTGACCAAAATTTCTTAAAAGATATACGACAACTCACTGCTTTACTTTCCCAATTTAATATTCTGAGATCAGGAATTAAAAAGATTCTGTAACAAAAATTTTTTTTTTTTTTTTTTTTTTGTAATCGGATAGGAAAAGCGACGAGTTTACAAATGCTCTCTTGGAAAACTTATGACCAATTTTTTTTTAATTTTGCTGGTCAGTTCATTTATTGGACAAGAAATAAAAATTTAAATAAGTATTTCAAACTACACTAGAAACTAGAAAAATCCAACAGTCAAAATGTAAATGAAAGTAGTTATATTTATAGGATTATTTACAACTAAGTAATTTTGAACATTTGATGTTTATACATAAATAAATTTGATGTTTTATTTCAACACAAAATCAGCATTGAGTTTAAAATACTTGAAAGTTTATTTCAAAACAGAATCTGTTAATAGCTGTTAATTTAAGTTTTTCTTTATGGTATCCATTATCCTTCCATCCAACAATGAGTACCTTTTTCGTATTAATATTTGCAGAGTGTCTGAGATAATTAGAACCCCTCAACAATCAGTATTTAAAATACGAAACAATTATTACTTTATTAATTCATTTTCTAGCCTTTAGTAGTCTGGTAGTCTAATAACTAAATGTAAGTATCTTTATTCAAATAATATTTTAAATAGAAATTTTTAACTTAAAAAATATTACACACAAAATTATGAAATAATTTACAGTACATGTATTTAAAAAAATGCATTTTCGATACAACCAATTAGTAAATTAATATTTTTGAGTTAGTTTCATATTGGTTGATTTTTTTTAAATGGATAATTAATATATAATAATTTTTGAAATGTATAATTTTTATTGTATAATAGTATAACTAATTGAATGGCACAAGCGATAGCTTTATCGCAACTATATTGCTCCAAATTTAAACGATATTATATTGATTCATAACAACAAAATCAATATGTTTTACGGGCCTTACTAAATGCTACAAACTAAATCTGACAACTAAATTATAAACTAAATGTATCTCAATTAAACAAGATTAAACTTAAACTAAATCTGGCAAAAAATAAGATGAAAGAAAAAGGAAACAAAAAATTAACTATGATGCCTAAGGGACGTGGAACCCGCATGTTTTACATTTAAGAGATGAACCACTTCATGGTTAATTCCTTTTAATACATTAAAAACATTTGTCCTGTATAAACATGCTGTAAACTAAATCTGACGCAAAAATAGATGAAAAAAAAGAAATCCAACAAACAAAACAAAAAACAAAAAAGTTAACTATGATGCTTAAGGGACGTGGAACCCGCATGTTTCACATAAGAGATGAACCACTGCATGGTTAATTCCTATTAGATATTATTGGATATTAAAAACACTAGTCTTGTACTTGAAAACCTTATCTTATATTTTGACAAGAATGTAGCTCTTCTTAAATAATTGTACATTACAAGTGCTTAAATAAAATGAAAGGAATGGAGGAAAATTGTTAACAATATAGTTCAATTAGATTTTTAATGTATTTTAATTGCTATGTCAGTAATTCATGGAATATAATTAAAATGATTCTTCGAATTTATAAACGAAATAAACATTAATGCACTTAATTTAGGCAACTTGTCCGTCAAAAAATATGCATATAAGTGCACTTTTAAATATAAAAAGCAAAAAAAAAGTTTCAATAAATATTATATAAATAAAATTAAAAAAAAGTTTTGAAACAAAATATTTCAAACAATGCCTTGAAGATATAAGAAATCAAACTTTGTGCAAAATAATCAAACTTCAAGAAAAAAGAATTTAAAAACTGGACCTAATAATCAAAAAAGCTTAAAATGTCCTTTCTTTATATTTTGAAAAAAATAACAAACTAAATAAAATAAATAAGCAACTCGAACAATCGAAAGAAGAAAGAAAGAAAGAATTTAAAAGACACCTGGATATTAGTTATTATTTTTCTTATTTTGTTCTTTTAATTTCTACGAAAACAAAAGTCATTTCGAACTTCGCGAAGCAATTACGTCAGTAAACAAAATCTTCGTTTTATGTCAAACGATTCCAATAAAACTTCTAAAAGAATAATAAACTTTTAAATATCTCCAACTTACCTAGAAGAAGAGATGATCGTAAAAATATTGATTTTTGCTCCGGAAGAAGTAACCAGGTAAAGATGCAACACATTAAATCGAATATTTACTCAAGTGTCTTCTCGACGATCCATAATAATTTAAGATTTCTTCCAATCACAGAGATATTTTTTTTCTCTTTAAACTATAACCGTACTCGCTACCTGTTAAATAGAAAGAACAAGAAAACGATGACTCTATCATTTGCTGGGAAAGACCAGTGATAGTTTTCAATGAGTAACCAAGTGTCATCAGTAGTATTTCTTTCGACCACGATTTGGTTCAATGAATTTTTGCGTGTGTCGCCATCTTGTGGACAAAGGATGAGGTGATTTACTGCATGACGATGAGGATATTTGGAAGAAAATATCAGATAAACAAAAATAAAATGCGATAAAGTTGTGTTTATTTTATAATATTTTCTTTTATTTCGTTTTTCCGCGGTAGACGTTTTTTTTTGTCGCTGTTATCTGTATAAAATCGGTGAACAAATAATATCCATGTTTCTAGGTAGGATTAAGATAAAATCATAAAAACTTTAGTTTTAAAAATGCGTAGTCGAATAAAATATTTATTATTTGTGTTATCTCTTTCTAAAAAGAAATTTTTTTTATAACTTTATAGATAAATTTAAAAAAAAACTCTTGCAATGAAATTTTGTTGTTAATGTTATCAGTTATTAATAAAAATTTAATAGAACCTATAATTTAGATTAAATTTTCAAGGGATACCTACGATTCAAAATCTGGTTTAAATATAGAACAAATATCAAAATTATTTTTATCATTAATAAACAATCAGCAGAAATCTCATCAACAGTTCAATTATATACTTATTTAGTTTCTCGATTAGATAAATGTGGTACAATTGTTAATCATTGTTAGTGTTTCAGTTAGATACTAAATCTTTTTTTCCGTTAAATAATTATCTAACGGGAGGAATTTTAATTTTTGTTATGTTATGTTTGTTTTACAACTTACGAAAAAAAAATTCAGGGAAAGTGTCCTTCAGAATGCAAGCCGACAAAAGAATAAAAATAAAATTATCAATTTTTATTTATTATTTATTTTAGGTAATTAAAATATACCAATATGTCATTCCCTCACTTGTCCCCACTGTTGATTTAAAAAAAGAAAAAAATTGTTACTGAAATAAAAAAAATTTTTTTACAAATTCGTGGTTTTTATTTCAGAATATTGAAATATAGAATTCAGAAAATCAATTTTACATTTAATTTCTGATAAAAATTTTAACACAGCACTATTTTAAACTTTGTCCCTAGTGTTTCGCATCATTCCCTCACAACTATGTTCTTATTACCTGCACTCTTCTTAGAATAAAAATATTTTAATAAAATCTTTAGCAGTTAACAACTGGCATCGTCGAACAAAATTGCAGTATGCTTCCATCTTCAACTTAAAGAAGCTTTGCTGTGGAATAAATTTGAATGAATCAAATCAGGTAAAATTTTTTACATTTGTCATTCCCTCATGTCATTTTTTAGAGTAAAATAAAATACAACTTCATCGAGAAAGTGGATAATTATATGTTGCTTTCTTGTATGAATATAATTGTATGTGATTGACTTCAGAAATTAATTAGGCCTAACTGTTATTTT